GAGAAAACGAGCCCGCCACCACTGCCCGTCAACCATCTTTCCACCTGCATGCAGCCTTTGCCATCCGTGGGTTCTGCCAAACCGTTCTCTCACTCAGCAAAAGGAAGGCCACACGGAGCACACGGAACAGCCCAGAGTGTGAACGCACACAGGTGCAGCAGACTGTGACGCACATACGGTAGTGGAAGAGGACTGCATGGAACACTGACAAACACCGACGATGACACCGTGGTCTGGCTCGGCCAAGTATGCATGCGCTAGCAGGACTATACTGCAACCAGCACTCCGTGACTTTGATTCTGACCATGAATCCATGACTCTTACTCCTCAACCTTACCTTGGACAATTCACCCAACTGAGGCGAGATAGGACGGACTTCGGTTGAGTCAGGCTGCCGTCTATTGCGACGGGTCAACCTATGCCGTCTGATGATCCAGGCGGACACAGTGGTCTATTCGCGACGCCTGATCTCTCGGGCCTCACCGACACCTTCGTCCGGCGGGGAAAAAAAAAAGTCACTGGGGGGGGGGGGAAAATAACCCAAGAGAGCAGAGCAGAAACCGAGCCTACAGCACCGAGCAGAGAGCGTCCAACAAAGCAGACATTGGGAGACGGTTTGTAGGAATGTGCATTGCAATCCTCACTCTGTACCTGCATGAACATGCCAATGCGCCATTTGCATCTTTGACAGAGCGCGAGCACGAAATGGTAAAAGACCCACCATGGCCATAGTGTGGTAATCTCAAGAAGATTAACGGAATTGTTTCGTCATGGGACCTCCCCCTTGCCAGTATCAAAATATGAGAATAGGTTTTACCCTTTCTGGCAAGAAAACAGGAGGTGTTAAAATATTTGAACACCAAACTGAAACCTTTTGCAAGGAATAATGTACTGAATTAACCGCACATACTTGTGATGAACATGCAAACGAAAAACCATGCTCTGGTAGTATACGCGTTGTCTTCTAAACAGATTGGTCCACAACAGAGACAGCCTTATTCTTAGTTCTTTCGGTAAAGTCACGTTGAAGGGAAACAACAAAATAATAAAATATATATAAAACAATAAAAAATATCACGACGTTTCGACCATAACACAAACGGTCGTCTTCTTATGGTCGAAACGTCGTGAGAATTTTTATTGTTTTATATATATTTTATTATTTTGTTGTTTCCCTTCAACGTGACTTTACCGAAAGAACTAAGAATATGAATTACTGCAGTCACGAAAGCTTTAAATCAAAAAGAGACAGCCTTCTTTAGAGCCTAGTCTCAAACAACCGCAAGTATATGTGGTTAATGCAGACATGATTCCTTGAAAAAGGTTTCTGTTAGGTGTTTTAAAATCTTAACACTTTGTTTTGTTGCCAGAAAGGCTAAAACCTATTCACAAAGAATTGTTTTGATTTCAACAACACGATGTTAGAGATATTATCGGGCCGTTACAAATGCAAATGTTTTAGACATACATTTTTTTACACGAATGCACCCAAATGAGTGCTTTTCCACTTGAAATAAAAAATCATAGGACAGTACTGAGCGTCTAATTATCTGAAGGTTCGCATTTTACCATGTATTTATCGCAATGTACATTTGCCAAACTGCGCATTCTGCGCTGTTGCCATATACGCATTTGGAAATTTGTCGATATCTTTGCCCGTACTCTTAGAAACTCAGCTCTCCCTAGGAAGAAAAAAAAGACTTCTGGTCCCAATGGGGAATCTTAGCTGATCAGAAACAAAGGTCATCTATCTATCATTCAAAGCTAAATGAAAGCAGCATCATCTCTCATCAGCGCACAACAGTCCTCTCCCGGGGCGTAGTAACGCCGCCGGACCGGAGACCATCCCGAGCCAGGCATCACCAACAGCATCGACGTTCCCGTTCCCAGGGCCCCCCCCCCGCCTCCCGCCGCCCCCCCGTCAACTCTATTAGGAATTACCAGAGCTGCACCAACCGCTGGTCAAGTGTACATTAAAAGACCCTTGTGAGATCATATATCCTACATTTTAAAATGTCAACATGCTCTAAAACAAAAAAATCTGACAATTATGGAAAAACCAAACAAAAAATATTCCAGCCACTTTGCTTATAGAGCCACTCACTCACATAGGACTACCTTTCAGAATAGAAATGGTGTCAAAATGGGCCCCTTACTAAGAGTCCTTTGGCAAGAGACATTTGATTGCTTTTGAAATACCAAAACGCACGCATTTGTGGTCGACTGCTCTGGGACGAGAATCTGGTTTCACGGTCTCCGGCCTGCCTCGCTGTGAGCGACTCGCGTCACTCAGGACGACGGGAGCCTGCATTCTCCGCACGCAGCAGCCACAGCGGACTGGGCAAAAGTGCAGGGGCACCCCCGCCACTGCGATTCATCATTGCGCTTTTTCGATTCATCGGTGCTGCACGGACACCGATGAGCATTAATGCAGCCTTTAAAAAAAAAATACATCTTCCACGAAACTACAGCGGAGTGTCGATTAACAACACACATTCATCTCTTACAAACGCTTATCCAGATAAGAACCAATTATTATTCGATATTGGTCTAACCAAAAATGAGGTGACGGTTTAAAGAGCCCCTAAATATGGATGCTAAATTGACCCCCCCCCCCCCTGCCAAGTATGATCAATTAATTTTCTGGCTTTACGTTCACCGCCAAAAATTTTCTTTGTGCCCCGGAATGGATTTTTGACTCTCTGCTGCCTTGTAAATTGCCATCGTCGACGCATCTGCGCTCGCGGCGCAAGCGTCGCCCCCCTCTCGGTGCCGCCATCGACGGGTCCTCGTTGTCACCGCGCACACGCTGGGACGCGAGCGCTAGGCCCCACGTGAGCGCGCGCCCTCATCAGTATGCACGAGCGGCGACCGAGAGCCGGGCGGGCGAGGAGGAGGAGGGGGGGGAGGAGGGCGCGAGCCGGAGGAACGAAGGCACGCGCGGCACCCACAGCTCCCACCATCAAACGCAACAACACACACCGCTACGATGGCTTTTGTCAATAGTGTAAGAATTAATTGCATTTTGGCAGCCCTGATAGGCGAAGGGCCTGCCCTCACACCATGTCGGCCACGTGGCTTTCCCTGACCGTAACTTCAGCACGCCGCCGGTTGAAGCGAGTTTGTCGAAGCAAAGGACCGAGGAGCGGAACCAATATCACTCGCAACTGATGTTAGCCACGACTGGGAATGAAACTCAGGTCTGCGGGTTCAAAGCACAGTCTATGAATGGGTGCAGCACCAGCCACACCCCCCCACCACTCCCCGAGTTCGATGTATGTCTCTTTAATATTTTGTGCTCACACGCTTCACCAGCTATAGACTAATTACTCACGCAAGCAACGGGAGCCATTATTGCACCATTCAATGAAGTGAAGTTATAGACTCTTACCCAATATCCTTCAATGGTCCATCTAACTCGAATCGCTTGTGCAGCTGTGCGGAGACGACTGATTGGGTCACCGTGACCTCAAAACTGCGCTCAACCAAATCCAGAGGAATCCCTGGAAAACCCCAAATTCTCTCTTGGCTGCACAGTCACTCGTGACACAGCTGACGTGAGCAAGTCCCAACCACGAGGAAACGGCGCCCTGGTTGTTTCGTTTAGGAGCCCAGGATCCCAGCTTCCGTAAACGCGACATCGTTGCTCAGACGCGTGCCGAAATTGGCCCACCGAGCCATCGTGGTTGCCAAGGTGGCTCGGAGATGTTAACTACCTAGCCTGGTATACAGGAGGTTGTGGGTTCAATCCCATCCCTGATGCCTGGTGTATATTTGGAGTTTGCATGTTCTCCCCGTGGTTGTGTGGATGTTTCTCTGGGTCTTCCAGTTTTTCCCTCCACATTTCGAAACGTGCGTTGAAGAGTATGTGGCTGCTATAAATTTCCACGTGATAGGCCACTTTGTTGAGCTATCATTTGTGGCCAAAATGTCGCTTCTCTAAAAATAACTACAGAGCTCAGTGGGCCTTACCTGTTAAATTAAAATAAATGAAAACAACTAAATTAAATCACGACGTTTCGGAGGCAACACAAGCTTACGTCTTCAGGTGGAACAGTCAGAGCAAAAATAGCTGATACAGCTATTTAGCTGGTACAACTATATTGCTGTGACTGTGCCACCTGAAGACAGAAGCTTGTGTTGCCTCCGAAACGTCGTGATTTAATTTAGTTGTTTTCACTTATTATATTTTACCTACGTGACTTTACCGAAAAAACCAACGAGTATGAATCCTTGCAGTCACGAAAGCTTCAAATCTAGAAATATTTTTTTTTTAAATAAGAATTCGAGTTGTATTTATCTGATGTGCGTATACCTCTCAAACTGGGTTTAATTGCCCCTAACATGCGACTCAATAGAAGCCTCTCGAACGGAGCATGTGTGTACACGCGCGCGTGTGTGTGTGTGCGGGCTTGAATGTGTTTGTGTTATTTTTGCGCGTTTGCCTACCTGTGTCTGTGTCGTCGTGTGTGGATGTGTTCGTCTCCGTGCCGGTGCGTGCGTGCGTGCGTACGCACGCGTCCGAGGGAGCAGTGGGCCCCAAAGTTGGGTACTGCGCTACGATGTTAGCTCCTAAAATTTCAAATCTCCAGCAACAGACCGCAGCGGTTGAGTGTGATATCTGAACCAGTCTTGGGCAGCTTCTAGGGCAACTCCGCCTTAAATGGGTATCCGTTGTGATGTGTGACCATCAGTACGTGGCAGACAAAGGCATCCAGGTGCAGTACTGGAATACCACACCACCATCTACCACCACCCTCTGCGCCATAATCGCTAACAAACAGCACTCGCACCGACACTTTATAATAACACTGTAGGGGGAGATCTTTATCTGTGCGTGCGTGTGTACGTGTATAAATAGACGAATGTATGAATTTCCACAGCGGTAATGTAATCATGCCTCGCCGCTTTGCCCCTGAGAGTTCTGTGCGCGAGGATTTGTGTTTGCGTTTCAATTACGGTCCCGCGCCTGGAGTGAACGTCGCAAATCGCGAATTCTGCTACCGCTGCCGGACACCCCGCGGCAAGAGCAGCAAGAGCCGCAAGAGCCGCAAGAGCCGCAAGAGCCGCAAGAGCCGCCGCGTTCGCGCGCAGGCGCCCGGCTGCTCACAGACTGCTCCTGTCGGAGAGAGAAGCCGCGTTTCTATACGGGACCCGAGGCCCTTTCAAGGAGGGGTGCCGCCTCGCTCTCTCAAATTGACAGCTCTACGAATACAGATATCTACGTATGCCCTAATTATTCGAAGACAATAGGTTATATTTTGATTTAGAGCTTTCGTGACTGCAGGGTTCTTTTGGTAAAGTCACGTAGAAGGGTGGTTTTCACACCTGATGATGATTGCTTGTGTTGCGGTCGAAACGTCGTGAGAATTTTATTGTTAATTTTTTTTATTTATTTAATTGTTTCCCTTCTACGTGACTTTACCGAAAGAACCAAGAATAATAATAGGTTAGTTTGCGAACGCGATTACATTTCCCTCAAGCCGACTGGTTCAAACAGATCACGTGACCTTTTATATTCCGCACTATTCTGCGCGCGTAGCCATAGCGACAGTTTGTGCACGCGCAGTCGTTGCCAAGCAACCAAAAATATGGTGGAGGGGAATTGAAACGCGCTGCCGAGAGGCCGAATAAACTTAAAGTGGTGCTCCTTCCTTTCCAACAGCGATGTTAAATGAAAACAACTCTCACATGCGCGTGCACACAAATATAAACATCTCCTCATTAGCCTCATAAATTACAAGAGCAAGTGCTGCAAGCATGCGCCTGTTACTGTGCGCAGGCTTTTATAATAACAAAAAACAACAGCTGCCATTCGCCACCGAGTGGCAGTGATGTCACCGCACAGCGCTTGTGGCTGCCTAGGTACACTTTAAGAGGCCATATGAAGTGTCTGACGCAGACCCCGGTGTTGTGGGTTAACTGACTTTGATGACTGGGAGATGCAACACTTGTGCACTTCAATGCGCCAACTTTTATGCACAAGTATGCATGTTGAACTTCTTTCGCACCGTACGTACCCAACCGTGATGATCGGAGGTGCGGGGGAAGGACAACAAACTATAACACACACAACAGACTGTTGGAGCAAGTGCTGTTAGCGAGCACCTATGAAGGCTCATGAGGCACACGGGACGGGTGGGTGGCCAGCACCACGCCTGGCCGCCTTCGTCTCCCGAACGGCGATGTTCACACATCGCATCAGGTACTCATTCGAGGCCGAGTCATCCGAGGGGAGGGCAAAGACAAGTTCTGATATCACTCGCCACTGAAGCTGGCCACGGCGTCGATCACCGCACCCGCGTTCCCTGCTACCCACGCACGCGGCCGCGCTCGCGCCTTGCCTCGGGGTTGAGGTAGAGAAATACGATTGGATGACGGGGGTGGGCGTGGGCGTCCTCGTGCGTTCCTTCTCGTCGCCGCTCCGCTCCAGGCCCGGCACGGCCCCGGGCGGCACCCCGACTCCTGGCACCCCGGCGGCGGAGCCGGTGGAGGCGGTGGCCGCCGCGGCCGCCGCCGCGGCCGCCGCGGCGGCGGCGGCGGCGGCGCGCACGGCCAGGGCCGCGGCGCCTCCCCCGACCGCCACAGAGGGCGGCCGGCCCGGCCCGATGCGGCCGTTGCGCTTGAGGCGCTTGCGGCACAGCGCCACGAGCTCGGGCAGCTGCAGGTAGCTGGCGGCGGTGAGCAGCGCGGCCAGGCCCGGCTCGCTGCCGCCCACGCCGGCGCCGCACGCCGACACGGCGGAGCCGCCGAGCCGGCCCGTGTAGATGTACTCGAGCACGGCGCGGAACACGGGCGGCGTGATCACGTCCGAGTCCAGGTTGATGAGGTTGTCGTGCACAACGAGCGACTTGAAGTAGAGGCTGCTGGCGGCGAGGACGGCCTTGTGGGCGCGGAACAGCGCGTTCTCCACCACCACCACGACGTCGCACAGGAAGCCCTGGCTGCGCTGCTTGTTGAGCTGCGACAGCAGCTGCTTCGCGTGGCTCGGGACCTCCATCATTTTCGGCGGCGCCGTTGGTGGCGAGAAAATGTAACGGGTTTTCCTCTTTTGTTTTTGTTGTTGTTTTCTTTTGTTAAGCTTCGTCCTCTCTTCCTGCGTCGCTCCCTCTCCCTCGCTCCTCAGCAGCGACTCACTCCGTCTGATTACACACACACACACACGCGCGCACAGATTAAGGAACCTTAATGAACAGATTCTAGTTAATCTTACCGTCCCCCAACTGTCATGCCCGTGGTCCCCACAACCTCATAAGATTCACATCGGCCGTCTCCCACGAGCAAGGAGACGCAGCGGCGTCTGGGGTGATGGAAAACTGACCAACACGCTTTATCGATAGAGCACCTGCAGGGCACAGCACTAATCGAGCCCCTGCAAGGCATTAAGAGCAATTACAAGGGAACCAGTGGGCTAAATCTTGGCAGTGCCTGGGAACAGCGACTCCAACAAGAGAACCAACACGACTTCACGAGCACACTGACGAGGTAGCAGGAGACTGCCATTTGCACGTAGACAATAACCAAGGGGCATGAACCGGGCACTGACAAACGATGCATCAATCGGGAACTAGAAAGGGACGCATTGAGTAGCCAATAGCACAGGCCTGCGGTCATAATAGGGCATCAATAGGGCATCAATAGGCACAGACATTAATAGAGCATCCTTCTGATACCAAGAGGGCGGTAATAACGCACCAATAGAGAACCGATACGGCCCCATTAAGTTATCAGTGGCACAAGTGGCGCCTCGCAGCGGCGCGTTAATACAGAGATGAGAGGGCATCAATAGGCAGCGATAAGGCTCGGCGGCGCGAGTGTCAGCGGGGGAGCCACAAACGCGGCGAGAGGGCCGGCAGCGCCGTGCCTGGGAACGCGCGACGGTTCGCAACCACCGCTGCTCCCCCACGCCGCCGCCGGCAGTGGTGGGTGGAGGCGCAGGCTCGCGGCATGACCCCTTGACGTTTGTCACAATGACCATTTCAGATTTTGAGAGTGCCCGGACGAAAGCCGCGTTTCTCAACAGTTGCGCGAAAAAACATCCGAGACGAGCGGATTGCGGGCAAAACTGTACGATTATGCCGACTCTATTTGTTTAGGGAGACGAGACAGTTGTGGGCGGTGGAAAACGAAGGTGCCTTAGCCGTGATACGAACAAGAGCAGTGATTCTGGCAGCATAGACGACCCGCGAGAGGGTATTGCAGACTATGGGGGCAGCAGCCGGCTGTGTAATCAATAAGCTACTGTTCTTGGAATTGGAGCAGTGAACTCAAAAAGTCAGAAGACTATGGTTTTGAGACGCAGAAGACTGCACTTTACAGTGGCTTGTTCACAGTGTGCGGCCAAAAGGATCCGCTCCTGGTTTTGCAGATGGCCCGTGTCAGACTTTTCCAGCAACAGTTACCGAAAATCACACCGACAGTGCCGTCAAATCATTCAATTAACCTTGTGACGTGGCTGCCGTGAAACACCCGCGGGGGCCGTTAGGCTGCCACCTCTCATTTCAGCAGCCGGGCACTCGGTGTAGAGTTTCACCACAACGATGATTAAACAAAAAAAAATTCTCTAAACAAATCGGCCGCGTAATTACGGCACGACATCTCGCACCAACCAACGCGGTAGTTCCCACACGCTGTCCCCCCACGTCCTCCCCCCCCCCACCACCACCACTGTCCAGCTTTTCACGTCTGCCAACCTTCTCCATACACGTGGAAGATTAATGCGCGTCGCCCGCTCATGTGGGCTGGCAGGAGGCCTGACGGCGAGGTCGGGAGGTCGAGGGAAGGGGGCGCTGCAACGGGCGTTTGAGGCCCCTTGGCGGGGGAGCTGCAGGCGAAGCTCCTCCCTCGGAGAGCTCAGGACCTCGCTAACGCGGTCCAGAGCGTGACACGGCGGTGGCCTGGTTCCACCGCCAGCCAGCGAGCAAAAGGGAGCGAGACCCTCCCCGCTCACGAGCAACGCGCGCGCGCGAGAGAGCCATGGCTAGCGCCCGCAGGCGCTCATGCACGCAAAAAAAACCAAGATCCATCAGATAACCCGTGCGCCAGCGGGGCAAGCCCTATTAGTGAACGCCGATTAAGGCGATCACGTGGTAGGGTGGTGTGGTTAAGTCTAGGACACCGGCGAAACAAAGGCAGCCGGGTGTGCAGGGTGCTCGCCGCAACACCCCGTCGGGGCCCAGGCCCAGACGTGATTCCTGCTGTGGCTGTGGGGTCACTTCCCAGGGAGAAGCGGACGGGAAGCGCTCTCAACGCCTTCACTGCAACACGGCGGTTTTTTTTGTTTGTTTGTTATAAAAGTTAAACCGTGGTGCGGTCACAAAACTACCAACTTTTTTCCCCAATTATGTCAAAGGTTTTTTTTTTTAATGTGAGTAATGTTTATACTGAGCCTAGTTTATGAGCTACACTTACATCATCCGCTGGGTGGATTTGCATGCAGAGCAGATGCGTGAGGCTGAGGATGCATGTAAAGTGTTTGTACAATGTAAAAAGTATATTGCAGTTTTTTTTTTTAAAGGTGCGGTAAAGGATTTCTTATTATTGTTGAATTTTCGGACGTCGGGCTTTAGTAAAGCCCCAAAAAGATGATGGGGCGGCCACGGGAATGGAACTTTTGAGTAGCTGCTCAATCGGCTCAGCAGCAAGGGTTTCTGTCACATCGCCATGCGACAGCCGAGACAAACAAGCGACTTCAGTGGCTGAGCTGGTGACGACTAAGTGATTGACCAGTTGAATTTGAGCGGACGACTGAACGAGTGACTGCGTAGGCGACAGTACTGGCTCCTCCCTGTCACGGCCACCGCTTTGTCGACAGCGAGCAAAGTGCCCAACACCACGTGATGAGGTTTAATATCTCCCAGCGGCACACAAGCAAAACTGGACAACGAACCGGACAAAAACAAGTTTGGCAGGACCCTCCTGAAAAAGAGCCTTGAGGTTCATGATTATTTTAATTGGTAAATTAAGGGGCAATTATGTCCTTAAAACAAGTCGAGCAAAATGTAATCCTATTGGTTGAATGAATACTGTAAAAAGAAGTAAATTTTTGTGGTGTCATTTTGGGAACAAATATTAATACAGAACAGAAAAAAGCGGTAGAACATGGGGAGAAATGATGCACTACGTGAATCGCTGAACAGCATGTCTTACTATCAGAGTGGTGCATGGCCAGTGAGTGTGGCGTCAGCTATGGAGCCTTTGAGGAGCCAGTGCCACCTGGTACCATTTTTGTGGTTGCCAGTCAGCGTCCTGCCCATGTGCAATGTGATGGCACCTTTGGTCATGGGAACATTGCCCACAAAACGGCGGTCAGTGGGGCAAAGTGCAAGGATCACGTCCTCACTTCAACCAATCAGCTGGCAGGAAATGGCAGAACGTTGCAAATTTGAATACACCTAAAAACCTGAATTATTCACAATTCCTATTATCCACAAAAACTAGAATCCTTGTTTTTTGTATCTCCCCCCTCCCAGATAACAAGACTTGTGTTTATCTGTGGGTGACCATGCAGATATCTGAAACAATTTTTATGGATAAACGAATAAGAGAATCTGACAATAGCGCGCGCCACGACAGACCCCATCAGCGTCGCGAAGAGGTGTTTCAACAGCTTTCCTGCAGAGAGCTCACCCTGCGAAGCCAATCACTGTCTCCCCGTCCCCCATCACGGTGGCAAGAGAAGCGTGGTCCTTGAGGAAGCGTCCGCACCGGAGATGGCTGCCCCCCCCCCCATTTCTTATTCATGTTTTTTAATAACCACGGGCGCGGTTGCCGGGAGACAGGAAGGTTAGCGGGACACGGCGGTGGAGAGTGCCGTGTGGCTGCTGGCTTCGTCAATCGAGGAGAGGGCACAGAGGCACCGCTCAGCACCCCAAACTCGCCGCAGCTCACCCGACGCAGCGCTTCCAGGATTGCGGAGATTGTCCGTCTGCACGTAAATTATTTAAAGTGTAAATATTTCCGTTTTTATTTATTTAGCACCAGATCCAGAAATATAATGCCAGCATATCTCCCTCCATACGAAGCCCCTACCTCCACAGGCGAATCTGTCAAAAAAATACACCTTATCAACATCAGTCTCAGTAAAAAAAAAAACCCACACAACCGGGGGCTAAAAAACCCTGCCACCAAATAAATCTAAAAATGCATCGATCAATATTGTTTGGTAATCCACACTGAGCGGTGTGGTGAAGTATGGTCAAACAAACCCAAGTGCACGGTAGAAAACGCAAGCAGGTGTGAGGATAACTCTGACAATGCGCTGTACAGACGCCTGGCCAAAACAGAGTTGTCCAATCGCACGCCAGGCAGCCAATAAGGATTGTGGGCAAATGCTGATTTGCAAATGCTGATTTGCCCACAACCAATGGGGGTTCGGGCACATGACGTGGCCTGTGACGCTTGGAAACGCCGCAAAGGTTCAACGCTTCCCATTACAGTGTTCAAATCCAACCCAGGTCAAATGACCCAGAAGGCAGCCAATCAGAGCACAGACGACCCCCATGTGCTTGCCTGGGTCGGTCACGGTCTCTCAGGAGGCACAAAGGAGCGGCATGGGCCAATGGGCACGAGGTTTCTGCTGCGGTGGCACAAAGACAGTGTCATTAAATACCATTCCCAAAATCATCGCAGTGTTCTAATATATACTCCGGAATCGCACTGCGCAAAACTCTCACATCTCTTTCAACGTCTTATTATTCCCGAGTGTATCGTGGTTTTTAATTATTTTCCATCGCCGCCTGCCCCATCAGAGGTGAATCCGCGGGCTTTGGGAGGGAAAACATGCAGGGGGTTGTTCCCCAGCCCCAGAGAGGGCAATTTCATCATCGCCCCCTCACCCACACAATGAGCACTGTCTGCTCAAATAATTGTCTCTGCAGAAAGTATGCACATGCAAGGGGAAGCAGTGTGGCATACACAATGCTTTGGTAAAGCTTTGCAATATCTGAACCACAAACCCTTCCAATCTGCCACGTTAATAACATGCCCCGTCAATTAATTACGCTGGAGTCATTCTGAGCCTTTTGACACAAACTGCAGCGTAGGTTTCCTTTGGCCGATGCCTGTGCAGATTGATCGCCGGACAATGAGGATCATTTTTCGTTATTTTATAAGCAGTAACCGAGTGTTATTTTTGGAGCCG